ACCAAAGAAAAACTCCTAAGAAAAAATATGACTGTCATCTAAATTGTCATAATTTTTTACTTGACACAAGCTTATTTACATCTCAGATGTTTTTGTTTGGATAAGGAATATTCAAGAACAAGAATATAATAATGGATCAATTATAAAGCAATTTATCACTAGAAGGAGGTGTTAGGTACCATCTCTTGATTAAATTAATAATTATAATTTTAATAATTTATTAAATAATTTAGAACCTGCTGAAATAAAAGATCTGACCCAAGGCGGGGTTCAAATCTGCAACCTCTGCTTGCCATGCGGTGCACTTGCCAGTCGTGCCACCAGGACCCCAAGCAAGTCTTCACTTCCAGAAGTATTTAAATTTGGATATAACCTTACTTGGTTAATCACAGCACTGGCTGGGGATGATACCTATGCCCACGGCCTACAATATTTGATATATAAACGAGACTGTGGGCGTAGGTGTAGGTGTCGTCCCCAGCAATAAACCTTGTCATAACCACTTCCCCCTTCCAGTGTAGACATCATTTATGGACACTTCCTAATTGCAACTTCATTGACTAAAAATTTAGGTCAAGGTCATAACATGATTGTTATTGGATTTGTAAACAATACTATGCTATTATATTTTTAACAGAGTAAAATATCATATGAATACAGATTAAGTACTTTCAAACCAGTTTCATCCATCTTTGGGGTCTTCATGTAAAAGAATACATATAAATACATAAAATTCTAAACCTGCTTTCTAAAAGTAAAATAAAGCATTACAAAATTCAAAAGCAGCAATCAAGATGTATAGTGGTGCCTCCTTCATATCTTTTAAATCTACTTTATCCTAAAATGACAAAACAACAAGGATAGAGAAAGTCAGCTCTCTATAAAAAAAACCAACTTTCTCTATCCTTGTTCTTTCTTATTAACTATTTCTGAGCACAAGACTAAGTATATACAGGGTGAGTCACGTAACCTGAAACAGTAAAATATCTTGCAAACAAAATGTTTCAGAGGAAAATGTTTACAATAACGTTTGTTTGTTTTGAAGGGGGAAGGGAAACAAGTGTGTGTATTTTTTATTTTGACAATGTGTTCGATGTGTGAAAGGTCAGTTTGTTATTTTCAAATGGAAACCTATATTTTTTGTAGCAGCATTTGATTCTATAAGAAACAACAAGTGGCGTATGTCTGAAATATTTTTCTGTTTATTGCTTAGTTTTCACAACATTTAAATTTTAAAAGAAGGTTAAAACATTTCTGTTCGCAAAGCAAACAGCAATTTTTTTTGTCAAAACATTACAAATCAATTGTAATGAAGAAATTAATCTAACAAATGTTCAAAAAGATGGTCTTTAACCTCTATACATTTTTCAATATGTTCAAGAAAAGATTGGTGAAAAGTTATAAGTGTTTCTTGAGGAATATTTTCACAAGCATTTTGTATTCATTCCTGCATATTTTCTGGGGAGTATGTACATCTTGGTATACCTTCTCTTTAAGATGTCCCCATAAAAATAGTCAAATGGTGTTATATTGGGTGATCTAGCAGGCCAAGATAATGGACCACCATGTATTATCCAACAATTATTGTAATACTGATGTAATGCATATTGAGCAGCATGTGAATAAAGTCCTGGACAATCATTATCATGAAAAACAACATGGTTTGGTTTTCTTGTAAATTCAGGTTTTCTAGCAATAATGGTAATTCATCAATGAAAATATTACAGTATTTCTCACTATTAAGATAAGAACAGACCATGTGGTTTCAGAATAATGGCTTGTATTTTATGGTTAAAAATACAGCTGTACCATGATGTTGGCATCAGTTAATATATTAACTATGGGGGAATTTTCTCATAATTTCTATTAAAATACTTTAATTTTTGAGTGACTTTTAATACAAAGGCTATGACTCAGAGTACTGACAATAGTATGCCTAAAGTGAATGTAAGTGCTTGTGATATAATTCGAGAATTCCAAATGAAAAACTTGAAGTTAAAAATTCAAAGGTTTGATGCACATTGTGTTATTTAAAAGCAACATATTACATTTGCAAACATTAAGCCTTGGAAAGAATAGCCTTCAGTGACAAACTAAAAGAGAAGAAAACCAGTAAGTACATTTTTTTCAACATTTAAAAAAATATATAGATTTAAACAAGTTTACACAGTAAATTCAATGTAATAGGTAGAAAAATCTGAAAAAAGCAGTGCCAAGCTGGAATTCCAATACATGCACTGCTAATCTGGTCCTACACCAGTAGATAAACAAAAAATGAAATGTGGCAAAAAATGCATAGTGAATGAATATTTTATCATCATCTGCCTGCTATTCGAAAAGCTGATCCCCAGGTGACTCTAAACTTGGTACAGTGATTGTGATATATGCCTGCTGATGGATGAATCAGTTAATGTTAAAACATACAATACTGGTGTAATTGTTGAGGAAGCACTGCAAGCAATTGAAGTGCTTCAATTATGCAAGCTTGTTGATTTTATAAGTGACATTGTACCTCAAATGACAAAAGCAGGCAAAAACTTGAAAGGAGTTTTTCCAAGTCCAGTGCACAGCACGTTTGGTGCATATTGTTCACCTTCAAGCTGAAGAGAACAGATCAAACTTTTCTCTTTTGAATTGACTTATTGCCAGTGTGAAAGAACAGATTGTTAAAGCACCAAAAAAGAAAAAGATTATCATAAAATACCTTTGGATAAAAACACAAGCAACTGCTTTACTATTTGGTTCCCGTAATTATATGGTGAGCTACATTGCTCCAAACTGTGCAGTATCATCTAGAAAATCTAGGTCTGAAGGAATTAATTTCTTTATTTGATGAAGAGGGATATGCTATCTGTTGTCTTTGTATATTGTGCAAAACAAAAACTTTAAATTGGAGTTAAAAACTGTAGGATCTGCATTCTCTAATATTTGTATGTTAATTCACAAGCCTGAAGCTCAACCTGGGCTTAGTATTGTTGCAAGTGTTGTGTGACAAAAACTGAAAACTTTGTTAAACACAAAGCATTGCCAAGCAACAAACTTGCAGCATACATAAATGGACAACATCCAACTGTTAATTTCTGGAAGTAAATCACAATAAAGTGGATTCCATACAATCTAAACTGCATCTGTTTTCAGAAAATCATGTACCAATTTCTGAGATTAGTTACTACCAAAGCCTAATTGCAGAGTTGTCAGAAGACTGTCACGAATGTTGTGAAATTCTAACAAATTTATTCCAAAAACAAGAATGTACTCAGTAATCTTGCTATAAAAATGCATTCCTCTCAGCACAGTTGATGTTGAGAAAATTTTCAACAATTATGCATATTTTAACACTGCAGAACTTATTTTACAAAAACTTGGATATTAAGCATCACATTATCTGTTAATTAAATGTCAAAATGCTAAATATTACAAATATTATTAAAATTTTGACATGTTATTAAAATAAATGGTTAAAACATAATAATTAAAACAACATTTTTGATGAGCATTAGTTATGGTAATTTATTTGTATTCCAGATGTATCATTTCTCGAGAATTTGATTTTAATGTTAAGTATAAATACAGTAGCTAAATATCCAAACTGACAGTACTCAATAAACAGCTATTTAAAGCTGTGTTTTTTGAAATTCATAGCTTATATATTGTTAACATCTCATTCAACTAGAAATATCAAAACATCTGAAAACACCTTCTAGTTTTTAAATAAATATTTGCATAAATACAGAAATTTAATTTGTGTTTACAAGTAAATAGCATTAATTTAAAATCTGAGATTAATATTTTTTTATCATCTGCAGAAAAATAAAAAGTTAGAAATTGCAAGAGCTGAAAATATTGATTCAACATTTTTCAAATATAGTGACTGACAAGCATTTAGAAAATTTATTGTTAGTTTAAGCTTTTAAGGAAATTGCTTTTAATTGTAGTAATTTGTTAGCAAAAAACAACAAAAGCATTAATTAAAGGCCATGCTAAGAGAAGCAAAATTGCTGCAGAAATTTTTATTAAAACAACAGTTCAGTTCTGATGACAAAAATCTCTCTTGTAAATTTTATAAATATACAAATTAAAAAAAAAATCAATTTTTTTTTCTATAATGAATTGATATACAGTAATAATTTTTGAAGAGAAAAAGCAATTATCTTAAACTTTCATTATTTATCTGAATAAGATTAATACTCAAAAATAACAAAAACTGCTTTAATAGAGTATGACAGTTCACAAAAAGCACTTTCAAGAACCCATCATCAAGAATAATAACTCAAAAATAGAACAAAATTACACAGGTATAAAATATACTAAAATCTGTTATGATTATAATAGATAAATCATAGCAATACTCATTACAAATAATTTCACCTAATTATTCACAATAATAATTACTTTGATTTATTTTATTGTAACCATAACAATAAATTTGAGTACATCTTACTTCCTAAAGACTGATATACATAAGCAACAAAATTAAGACAATGATAAGTGCCAACTCATTATATCTAACTGTCATCTTGACTTGCTGCCCATCTGCATCATGATTAAGTAACTATTTTCAAATTGCTGTTCTTGATGATGAGTACATAGTAATTGAACACTTTCTGTATGATATCCCACCCAATTAAAGCATTTTTTATTATAATTACCATTAATCTGTCTCAAAATTTTTATATAATTGGCATTAGACGACATATTAATACAACATTAACAGAACATTGCTTAAATTTTAATTCATGCTATTTTTAATATGAATTTAGATTTAATCAAAGTTTATTTAGTCTAATCAATATTTTCTAATGATTAAGTTAGTTACTACATTTGTATAATTTTTATAATATATTAAATTTTCATGCCTAAAATTTTTTTAACTGAATTTTTTTAATATTTGATTAGTAATAACAATAAATTAATTAAAACAAAAATCTTAGAATTCATTTTACTTTCTATTAAAAATTAGTAGATAAACAAATTAAGAAATAAATAAGCACATAAGCATAAAATCAAACGTTAGTATCAAAGCATTTAGTATTTCTTACCAGAAATTCCCCAAGAGAAGAATTACGACCGTAGTCAAGCATGCATTTGTTTCTGCAGTTGGCATTGCCAGGCAAACATGCTAGTTCAAAACTGTGACCTGAGGCATGCTTATTTTGAGATCCCCTATTAAGGCCATGCAGTGATGTAGGTTTGTGATTAATGCCACATGAATTTAGACTACATGCCGGAGAATTTAATGATGTTTCGCTTTTTGTTTTGTAAAGGGATGATTTAGTTTTGGGCGTAATGCGATATGGCGTATTCACTGCGGCATTTTTACAGACTATTTTGTCTGTTTGAACTCCGATGTCTTTTACATGTACAAAAATTTTTTTTGGTTCGTAATGAAAATTTTTATTAATGTCCAGGTTTTGTTCATTTAAATTATTATTATCCAGATAACATGATTCATGAGAACCAAAAGTATTTCTTAATTTAGATTCGGAAATAACGCCTTGTAATAAGCAGGCAAGAGAAGCTTCAAAAATTGAACTATATATAGGTGAAGATGCAAAATTTTTCTGCAGATGTTCAAATGTTTCTGGGGAAGAAATGGTAGCATAACATCCTAAATTTTCCAAATTTTTTGGGGATTCACGCGAGACATTGGAGGGAACTGTAATTGATCTCTTTCTTGTATTAGGCACTTCATCGGGAATTCTGAAACTATGCAAAGAAACTGTTCTACACCTGATAGATTCTTTATCATTACAAATATGTGATTTATAAGAAAGTTTATTATTATTCCTATCATTAGGTTCATATAGATTATTTTCATGTGGCATTAATTTTTTCTCATAGTTTACACCATTATTTAATTCCTGGAAGCAAGACAGGCAGAATAAGAAGCTGATTTAAAAAAAGAATACTATATATTTAAATCATTCATACAAAAATATATTTAACAACAGCCATCATGCAAAGTAATATTTAAAGATAAAAATAATAAGCAAATGAAAATAATAGTAATAATCCCACAATATCAAATTATTGGTTACCTCAAGATTAGTTTGACTTTCTTTGTCTTCACACACATGGGAAATAATTACATTAGCATTTGTATCACATATAGGCTGTTGTGTTCTGTTGGCTGTAATTTCATCCATTATTGTTGTTACTTGGAAGCGGCCAGTTTTGTTAGCTCCCAACACTTTTGCTTGATGATCTATAGCTGAGTCATTAGACTGTAAAGCTGCATCGGGAAGAGATGTCTGAGTAGGTTTCAAAAGTCCAGAAGATCTTAATGGATCGTCATTAACTGGAGTAACTTTGAATCTGGACGAAGTTATTGGCGTAACCGGCGTTTGAATCACAGACGTATTAACTATAAAAATATATAATGTCAAATGGTTAATAAAATCAAATTCATCAGCAAAATTATTCTATTGTAACTGCTTAAAAGAAAGTTAAACAAACATTTAAATTTTAAGTTTGGCAGCACATTGCCATAATTTAAAAGTAATTTTAATGTATAAAAGTAATTACTAAAATTATTTTTAGTAATTAATTTTATACTTTAAAATTTAGTCACTCATAATTTATATTTAACAAAAATAATACTGAATTCAAGGAACATAAAAACTTAAGAGAGAGATTTTATTTTAGAAGCAAAACATTTTAACAAAAAAATTCTAAATAATACTGTATGAATAATGCATCAGTTTTATGCATTTTAGACCTAAAACTTATATATTTGATACATTTTACATTTAATATAATACACGTTAATTGTAACTGAATATGAAAAAAAAAATTGTATAAATAAAAATAAAAAACTTATTTTGATTAAATTTAAAAATAACAATTAAAAAGTTTATTCTTTTGAAATTTATTTAATATTATATTCATTTTTGAAACACTATTTGAACATTATTTGTAATCAATCAGTAATGATGATGAAAATGACACATCTACCAGAAATATTGTTTTCAAACAAGTTTTGTGATGTATAATAAATTTTTCTTCAATGAAATATTATACTTAGTAATTATTTGATTTAGTTTCACTCTACTAAATACTACATAATCTGTCATTCTTGGCAGGAAAATTTACTAGTTATAATAAATTTAAAATTACCTTGTTTTATTTAATTTTATCACATCTAAAATGAAAAGAAACAAAAGAGATTTTATAAATAACTGCATTTTACAGATAGCAAACTAAACTTTTTACACTATTAACCATTTTCTTATTTATTAATTATGTAATTTGTATAATTCTGAAATAATAATTTTAACCTTTGTATTTTTCAGTTTTTTCTTTATATTTTACTCTATTGTAATTTGTGCTTAGTTTGAATTCAAAAGAAACAGCAGAGCATTCATCATCACTTCACTTTTGTAACTTTGCTATACTTCACACTTAATCTAAACTGAAACATTGTCACACATATTTCTATGCATATTAAAGTAAGAAACATTATTTCCATTACTAAATAAAGATGAAATAAACCAATATGCAGCACAATGATGTATGATAGCTAACATTTTCATTTGTGTTAAATTGGCATCTTCAGGCTAACTGACCACTGCAGCTGTTAAAATAATGAGGGATTACCAGGTGAAAACATTAGAAGTCTTACATTTTTGTGCTGAATATTGGTTTATTTCTCCTTTATTATTAAGTATAATCAGTTTTGTGTGATTGACTATTTATGCTACAATCTGATTTTGTGTATCATTGGTTACCTTAAACTAATTTATGAAACTTACATAGACTTAACAAGTTTCAACACCAGTATGCTTGATTACATTTATTTTCTTGAGAATTAAGCTTTTTAATTTTAGTGCAAAAGAATTACAAAACATCATTAAAAATATATAATGCTTGTATGAGTAAATACATTTTTGATCATGTTCAATGATTGCATCAGGTTGTAATCTAATGATTGTCACTAACAGGTGGTCATGTCATTCAAACTTACTATAACTAACTTAAATATAGTTCAGATAATCTGAATTGGCTAAACCGAATAAAATTTTAAAAAAGTTATTCTAATTAATTTTGTTAATGACTTATCTAAAATATGATACCTTAATGTAGAAAAACGAAAACAATACAGTCGACCCCCTATAACACTGTTGATAATTCCGTTTTTTATGAATTCCATGTTGTACGAGTCACTTTGATTTTACAAATACGTGTGCTGGGCTGTGAACGGCACACATATTTGTAAAATCTAAGTGACTCGTACAACATGGAATTCATATANTTCAACGCGAAGCGACACGCAACGTATAAAAATTTCAACACTAGATAGGTTAATGTATTTTTTCGTACATAATCGGTTATCCTAAAAATAAGTTATCCGAACATCCCCAGTCCCCAATTGATGTGGATAAACGACGCTCTACTGTATATATTTTAGCTAAAACTTGTGAACCGATGTTGACGCTATAAAAAGGCGACAGTTTGACACACAGGATATACGTCACTCTTGTCTAAATTCGACTTGGGAATTTTTTTGTTCAATAATAAATGTGAATTCTTCTTCCTGGAAAAAATAAGATATTCCCTGAAAATAAGACCTATCGCATTTTTCAGAGCAAAAATTAATATAAGACAGTCTTATTTTCGGGGAAACACGGTAGTAAAATAATTTTAATATTAATAATAATAATTTAGTAACAAATTTATTCATAGTAAAATGTACTCGAGGGCCGTAAAAATTATTTGGCGGGCCGTATACGGCCCGCGGGCCGCCAGTTGGACAGCGCTGATATAATATATAATATATATATATTACTACACATCTAAAAATCAAGAGATTTAATTTGAGACCTCACCTGCCAAATTTTATCAATAAAAAGTGTGTGAACTAAGTGACTTTGTTCACTTTTAAATATATAAATACTAAATATCTGTTGCAATATTCTGGAATTTTAAAGACAAAGAGTATTAATGAAGATTATTCTAACTCTAAATTTATGTTTCATAACGGATATTCTAAGCCTTATAATAAACACTAATATAGATTTTTTATAGTAGTAAACTGGAGTTCTTTTACTTCTCTACTCTACTGAATAAAAACAGCAAAGATCTCGACTTTTAACATTATCATTATTTACAAAAATCTTAATACTTTGAAAATCCCATATCCATATCCATAGTTAAGAAACAAACTGTATGAATGCAGTGTATGAAGTGCTCAATATGCAAAGTTGTACTGTACAGAGTTGTCAAGGTAAATCCAGAATTTCTTCATGAGCAATCTTAGAGATGAAACTGTTGATGAAAATATATACATGTGTCAAGTCACTCAAAAAGAAAAAAAAGCACCAAATAGCTGTCAATAACTGGGACCTGCTCAAACATGTCATGAGAATACAACTGAAGAGCAACTATACTGAAATTGCTAAGTGCTAGAAAGTCACTCTCACAAATCATGGCATGGTTTGGCTACAAGATGATGCAAGTTTACAACATAGCCAAGAAGTTCAGGGAGTCTGACAACAAAAAGAATGTGACTCATAAGAGGGTAACTCACAGTAAGCATTCTGATTACAAAAAAGTGTGAAATTTGTAGTCAAATTAGAGAAGATCAAAAAAGATGGTGCATGGAGAATAAGTAATCTTGCAAAAGAAATGGAAATGACAAGGTAAACAATCAGTCTGGCAGTACACAAGGACTTGCAATACCATTCTTTTGTTTTCAGGAATTGCCAGTTATTGACTGAGAACAAGGACAGAAAACTGAAGGCTCAGGCTCTGCTGAATGATATCAAGCATATCAGTGTCAGCTTCCTGAGGTTCTTCTTGGATAAGAAAAACTTCATCCAGGACAGGAAGGTGAATTGCCAAAATAACCAATGGATCTTCCAGAATGCCTCTGACATGTCTATCTACCATCATCCAAACCAAATTTCCTGTCTCGATGATGGTTCTGGGAATTGTGAGCAATGAGGGTGTCAGGGAACCCCAGTTCTTCAGTGAGAGTTTGAGAGTGAATGCTAAGTGCTGCATCAATGTGCTGAAAATGGTTGAAAAGCCCTGGATAGATCAAGTGGCTGCTGGAAGGGAGTACTTGTTCCAACAGGATCCTACCCATCTCACAAGGCAAGGAAGACACAGCCCTAGTTTTACAGCAACATCCCATACCACTCGTCCCCGGACTTGTGGCCTCAGTCCTGCCTTGAGTGAAATTCTCTTATGTAAGGCATGGTGGAGGCAAAAGTAAATGTGATTCATCACAATACCAAATATGCCCTAAAGCAGTGGTTCTCAACCAGGGTCCATAGAAAAAAAATACTGAATTGGAGTTCACAGTAATATTTTAGTGGTCTAGAGGGTAATTCTACTTCAGAACAATTGTTTTACTGAGAATTAAATTTCTACAGTATATATACTTTCACACAAAAACCTTCGTAACTCCAGTGATACTTGCTTCATACATCAGCGAACGTTTTCGACCCCATCCGGGTCTTCATCAGGCTATGTTTATAGCCTGATGAAGACCCTGATACTTGCTTCATACATCAGCGAACGTTTTCGACCCCATCCGGGTCTTCATCAGGCTATGTTTATGAGGAATTCGAATGTGTATGGAACAGAACATTAAAACGAACTTTAAGCGATTCAAAATTTCGAAAAACAAACTATAAATAATAAGTGTGCAAGAAAAATCGTAACGTACAACCACCATCTGGATAAAATATACAGGGAAATCTCATCCATCACCAGGACTAAGATAGCGTACAGTAGGCCTAGATCCGTTTACAACTTGCTTCGCAACGGAAAAGATGCAATTGACTTGAAACACGCACCGGGGGTGTATAACGTCCCCATGTGGGATGACAGATTTAACAACCGTTTGGTTTATGTGGGATCAACCAAACGCTCCCTTCACAAACGGCTTCGGGAGCATAAATACGATATTGACAATAAAAAACACACCACCGCCCTATCAAGGGTTGCCACGGAACCGGGAATCACGGCTGACTTACAAAGGGCCCGTATGATCAGGATCTCTCATCGTACGGATCAACTGAGGGCCATGGAGACTCTTGAAATATATAAAGCAGGTTTACGCGGCACGTGCATTAATTCCAGGGATGCAGTCGGGATATCGGGCGCGTGGAAGTTTTGTTATGAGGGAAACCACCCCCGTAACTGATTTGTTGAGTTTCCTATTTTTGGTTGTGTTCACCGTTTCGCAAATGAGTGGTTGCGCGTGCGCAACGTTCCGTGTTTATTCTTAAGTTTGTTTTTCGAAATTTTGAATCGCTTAAAGTTCGTTTTAATGTTCTGTTCCATACACATTCGAATTCCTCATAAACATAGCCTGATGAAGACCCGGATGGGGTCGAAAACGTTCGCTGATGTATG